CCCCCCCCCCGCTTTGCCGCTGAGTGCCCGACAGCTTCAGGTCACCCCAAAGGGCTCTTGGTGCCCGCGACTAAAACAATTCCATACGTTTACTCCCACTACTGGTCCACCTATTCTGCACCTTTCGTCTGGCCAGCTCGCTAGCCCACATGCCTTCTTTCCCCTTTCTGTCCCCTTCGACTTCCGTTCTCTATGCGGGCTTTAACAGACGAATTGTCTCGTTTAACGAGTTTCAGAGGAAGAACGTACGCGTGAGAACAGACGCGTCGAATGTCAGATTTGAAGATACTGCTCGCAAAGGGAAGAGCAGAAAGAGATAAAGAGATCGATCACTCTGTGTCGGTCTTTGGAATTTTTAAAAGATACTCGATTTATATTTCTGTTCGCGAGATACGATTCGACCGGAAAGGAAACTAATGGAAGTGATCTGTCCGAGTGAAAATAGTGAAAATAGTGAGCGAGGAAGGAAGCGAAAGGATACGTACGACGGGAGAATACGCACAAATTAAAGACGTTCTTCAAAATTTCGCGGTTAAATGGCCGTTCGGGGGTGAAACTAGGTGGAGATGGGAGTAGTGGGGCGTGCATGAGGTAGCAGAGTAGGAAGAGAAGGAAGAGCGTCGGAGAAGCGAAGAAGGAAGGGAAAAAGAGTAGGGATAACGTGGGGGATCCTAGGCAGAGGAGCACCCGTGGTGATTACGGTACTGTGCGAGTCGGGCCGAGCGCAGACGGATCGCGGGGTGAACCGTCGCTCGGCATACGTCGAACTAGGTGCCCCGCGTTGGGGCGTCTCCTGCCATCGAGCATCGGTGTCGTGCAGTCGATCGGGGGACGACCACCGCCTTCTTCGAAGTCACTGTTAGTTCCGGACCGTATCGGACTGGATAGAAACGGAACGGTCCCGCCTGTTCACCCGTTAATTCCCCACCGGTGTGTCAGCGCAGACACGGCGACGACGATGAGACTACGACGATGGTACTCGTGGTAGCGCGACCACAGTGCGTCGTGGCCAGTGCGGGCGTCGGCATCGTCGTCGGTTGTGCACGCGATCGGACGAGCAAGGAGATGGTGTCCCCGGATCGTTCGGAGGAAAGTGACTCAGTTGCTAACGCTATTACTGTCAGTGCCGTGTCCACGTACAACGTCTTCGACGTCGTCGTAGCCGCTGCCATCGCCGCCACCGCCGCCGCCGCCGCCGTCGTCGCCGCCACCACCGTCAGCGTCGTCCTCGTCACCACCACCGCTGCCGTTACTATCGCTGCCGTCACTACCGCTACCGCCACCGTCAACGCTGCTGTGACTGCCACCGCCAGTCCCGCCACTGCCAATACTGCCGTTTTTGACGCCACGAGCATGATCGCTCCTGCTGCCAATCAGGCTTCCAGTGCAATTCGTCAGACGGTCTAACCACCCCTATATCTAAAACGGTGAGTGCCCATCGAATATTTCTCCGACG